TTAGGATAGCATCGAATCCGAACAACACGTAAGCCGTTCCGCATGCGAGATGCTTGATTAAGTTAGTATGGGTGTTGAATTGCTGGTGTATTATAGGATGGCTGATAAATCATAGGGTAGTGTCATGATAGTAGATGAAAAACAAGTTAAGATTTGGTGGAGAAACGGTAGTAAGGGGTCATGAGCAGTATGGGGAGTAAATAGGGTTGGAATAGTAGGGGCAGTTACTGGTAGGTGGGTGTATAGGGGTAAGGTGTATAGGGGTAAGTGTATAGGGGCAGGGTGTGTAGACGGTAGTGATGATGGATAGCAATGGCCACCAGGACAAGAGACAAGGGCGTTGAATGTTAGTCAAGGGACCATGAGACGCTGCCAAGGTCGCCACTGGACGAGCACAATGGCTGACAGACAGCTGAGAGAAGACAAGCGAGACAGAAAAATCAAACAACTTACGAGTAACTACATGGCCACAGTGGCTTGCAGGAAGCAACATCTTTACCCTGTCGCAAGGGCATGGGGAAACCTGTGGGAAAGGAGGTTCCGGGATAGTCTCGGGGCGTGATTCCCATCTTATTTCATGGGCACCCTTTGACAAAGCTCGAAGAGATGATAGAGGAGGCGCAGAAGGAGCGACGCGGCTCAGTTCAGGTCGGTCTGGACACATAATAACGGGGACTAGGGGCGATACTCTAGGAGAGGGAGTCGATGGAGTACGAGGCGAAGGACCTACAGGTGAGTAAGGGGTACGGATAGGAGAGTAAGGAGGGGGGGTATTGATGCGATGACTAGGATGGAAACGACTAAACTTAGGTGTACAGATAGGAGGAGGGACGTAGGGAGATGGAGGAGGATCAATGGCATCTAGCGCGGTCAAATAAGGACGAGAGGATGCAGGAATGACAGGATAGGGGCGGAGACGGGGGACAGGAGAGAGGATGGTGTGGGACCTAGTTAACCCACGACTGCAAGCAGCCGACGCTTTGGAAGGTGTGAATAGAGGCATTTCAAGAAGTTCGCGGTTGCGGAATCATGAAAATTGTGGAAGAAGGAAGGGAGAACTAGCATCTGGCAGGTCGAAGGCCTCGAGTAATAGTTGCCAGGCAAGAGTGGGTCAAGAAATATCCTTGTAAGCAAGAATAATTAAGTAATCACCTGCTACTAGCATACCCAATAGCTTTTTACACCGCATTATTACAATTGCGCTAGTGCATTAAACCCTTAACTACATATACATTACTGTATACAAGGATATCGCTGTATGAGGACACGTCGAGGAGGATGGCGCTCAGGATCAATTGAGGGTTGCGTGGCGAGAATTATATAATAAAACCTATTGTATGATGTAGCTGATGATGAGAATAACCATTGGTGAAGTTTTCATAATGTTATAGGCGTTGGTAGTTGAATAGTCAATGAAAAGGAGGTTTTGCGTGACGCTGGGGGTCCTCGAGGGACGTCTATCGAGGTCTCGCGTTCCCGTCGACTATCAATTGCACACCAGCGCGTGGCTCGAACGATATAGAACTTCGGAGAATGTGTATATGGGGTATCTAGACTCGAATAACGACGCGAGTTTTGTTCGTATTGTCGTGCGCGCGGTGGTATTGATAGGGGCTGCGTTGGCAAGACTCGACGACTACGAATGGGCTTTTTCAACGCGTCAAGCTGGAACAGACTATCGTAATATTACTAAATTTGGAAGAATGGCTACCTGCCACTGCTTAACAACATGGGAGAAATATGGCAACTACATCTTGATAGCGCTGCCTGTGAAAGGGGCGACTACCTCCTGGCCATATGGGCGACAGCTTCCCGAGCTACTCCATAACTTATTGTCAGCTCACGGCGCCAATCCTTCCTTCTTCTTAGCTCATAAGATGATAGATAATCTAGGGATCATAAATTTCTAGGTAGCCACAAAAACCAAGATAATTCACATCTCTCGCTATCCGAGAGTCCTGACAACTCGCCCGCAAACACTCCACGATATCCACCACAGAACTCGGCCTACGATAATATAATTGCGTCTTGCCAATACCCAGAATCCGTTTCACTACCTCTACGGCCCTTTCCAACGTCGGCCAACGTTCCCGCTTTGTCTACGTGGTATTAGAAAATACGATAGTAGCCTACTGGCTTCTACACGATACTCGGGCCATCTATCTCGAGACATATATAAACATACCTGAACGAGACCAACACCAGTTCCCGAGGGAATATGTACTTAGGAAATGAAAGAAGACAGAAGACCGAATCAATAATGGGAGGAGTGTGAAAATCAACGTGTGTATTCATCGAGAAGGGAACCCAGTATCTCTAGCTACTCAGATTCAAGGCCACCTTAATTCTTGCCATCAGCTAGATGCCGAGCACGACTCCTGCCTCCAAATCTATCGCGTTAACTTCCTTTCCAGAGGCACTAGTCCATTAATCACTCCAACCTCAACCATTCAAGACTGTCACCGAGTTGTTCTCAAGCTGTCGTCTCGCGAGCCGAGCCTCCGCCGCCTTGCGCATGACGTCCTCCGCATTCAGCTTGTTCGCCGCCGCGGTCGCCGTCTCCTTGATCAGGGTGCGAACCGCGCTCATTAGCAGCTTATACCATCCGTTATGCGGTTTGCAGCGCTTCTTCTCGCACATGCCGAGGGTAGCCGGGTCTCCTGGTATGTCGGGGTCGGGGTCCAGAGGGGTGTCCAGTTTACCCGCTCTAAAGGTTGCCTGGCCCTCGGGGCTCTCGAGCCACTTCGCGAACTGGTAGCGGACCGAGACGGTGTCGAGGCGCCAGTCGTACCCGCAGCTATCCTTAGTGAACTTGCCGGCTTCGATGGCGAGCTGTCGGCGATGATTGGCCCAGTCTATGAGCGCCATCATCTTCTTGTATTGGACAATCTCGTTACCGAGAGCAAGACGTTCAGCGGCGGAATTCTTCAGGAAGGTTTGCTCTTCGTCGCTAAGGACACCAAGGCGAGTCGGGAGTCCATTAAACCAAAGGCCCTCCATGTTGTCTGAGTGGACATATTAGTATTGGACTATATTCAAACTAGACCGTACGTGTTAGACAAGGAGGAGGGGAGGGAACATACCAAAGGGTTGATCACCCAGCTTCCAGCCATCTTGGTTGACGGTGCTGATGAGGAGACCGACAAAATCTTCCTGGGTGAGGACTTCGATGGCCTTCTGGGAAGCGTCCTTGGTGGGGAGCGCATTGATAGTGTCGATCCACCAGGCGTCACAGTGATCGTTGCAGCAGAAGACGCTCCTATCCTTGGGGTACTTGGTGTACCAGCGGGCGGGGTTCTTGCAGCCGGTAAGGGAACAGGTCTTCTTGTACTTGGTGTAGTTGCGTTTACCGTCAGTGCAGTTAGGACAGACGAAGCGCTCGACCAACTTCTCGCCAATATCCTTGTCAAGCGTGACACACTCTCCGTGGAACCAGTCTTCACATACATCGCAACTTATCATCCATCTATGATCGTCCGGTCCACGGCAGATGCAATAGGGGCCGTTGTCAGTCTCGTCATCGGAGCTTTGGTCTTGCGCACCAGCGGTTGAAGAAGCGCTCTTCTTAGAATTTGTCTTAGACTTGGATGCGCGACCCTTTTTGGGGCCTTTCTTGGCTGCGGTGCCCTTCTTCTTAGGTGTAGGCTTCATCTTGCCAGAGTCGGCTTGTCCGGAAGTTGAAGGAGGTTGGTTTTCGTCCAGGTCTGATTTGACTTGAGCAAGATTCGCCTGCTCGAGGTCGCCATTGGAAACGTGCCCATTGCCGGGGTGCGACTCGGTGCCCTCCATCTCGATGTCGTTGCTAGGCATGTTATCTACCGTCATGCGACGAACCACAAGTATGAAATGACTTGTCAATTCCCGGCGTGGTGGTGTGGTGGGAAAGCTGAAAGATCCAGGACCGAGAGGGAAATTTCCTCGTCGATATATGAGGTGCAAGTAATGCACCACTCTAAGTGTTGATTTTGACCTCACCCATCAAGATCAATTAGTTGGGTTTTTGATGAGGCCAGCATTGTTTTTTCTGAGATTCAGTTCACGTGTTTGTTTTAATTATTAACGCGTCAGGCTTGAAGTCACAGATGGCAAGCCCCGCTGATTGCGACTTCCAACAAAGACTGCCGTATATCAGAATAAAGTAAAAAGGGATGTCGCGATGCATTCACACGCGCTCAAAAGGGGAAGCTACACACATCTCAAGGATACCTACCTGCATGTGGCGCTTGGATCCCTGTTATCGATACGCGATAACCGCGATAACACTATTCACACAGTACGGACCGCGGTACGTACCACCCGTACACAAATAGGGGTACCTAACCTACCTACATAAGGTACGACCAAGTCAACTTTTTATTTTACTTGACATTTGCCACCAAATTTCAACCCCTTGATCTTGATAGTGGACTAGCAGCACTTATATATGGAATTTGAGGGCATGGAGTGTACAGATCCTCTTTAAATGGTACTCCCATCAACAAGAGGCTAGCATATGGCCATGAACGATAACTCAAGGCTGACATATTCCCCAGTAGCTAAGGTTGTCTTTGTATCTCAGATATACAACCCAAAGCTATAATAAAGGCTTGACATTTTTAGTTACGACTGCTCACATCTACCTAGATATATCACTCCAACCTTAGACCGGTTCACACCCATTATCACTCCTTACGCTATTCACAAATATTCTCATAGTAAACATACGAGCTCGCTTATAACGATACGATATAGTAATCTTTTACAATGATCGCGTTACGAGTTAAATTATCTTAGTCGAAGCTTCTAATTATGTTAGGAGTAGGATTCTATGTGTATCTATCTTTACATATACTAGGAAATCCAAGCATGTTTTGTGATATTGAAGCAGTTACGAATTTTACAGATTTGTAACCTATGGGTACCTACCTACTTCCTAAAGGCATTGTCTACATACATGTAGGTACCTTATAAACATTAACATCGGCGAGACTAGCCATTAGTCCTCGAAAATTTCAACATAGGGTCTTATAGCTCAGCTGGTTCGGAGCATCGTACTAACAATGCGGCAGTCGAGAGCTCGAATCTTTCTAGGATCCTTTTCCCTTTTTCCCCTACTTTCTATATATTTATATTCATAATAATTTATGAATATACTTAAGTAGCAGGATATGATCACGCAGGTGATTTTTATATTCTAATCAACCGTGCCGTTGGCTAGGTATCTGTATGAAAGAAATATTGCAAACTACTTAAACGCCTAGGCAGGTATACAGTATATTAGTCTAGAGCAGGGCCCATTTGTAAGCCATTGCCATATTATGTTTTGGTTCATTATAAGCACTTTCTATAATTTGTTGTTAAGGTACCTAATCGTTTGCTCTGGCGTCATAAAGTGCCAAACTACAATTCTAAGGGTTAGTCTGCTATGTGGGAGACCGTTACAATTATGTAGGTTGGTAGGATCCCGGTGATGAGTGCTATTTGTGGTGGAAGGAGTGAAAAGTATTATGGACAAGAAGAACACGTTTCGGACTCCTGATCTCTGTCTGACGTTATAACGAGCTTCCCGTAGAGACCATATCTCGATCATTGCTCGATCCGGCGAACCCAAGGGAACTGTTGGTAGTAAAGGCTACCCTTTTCAAGTGCAGCCGGCTCTGCCTGGTCGTCACCGGCAGTCTCCGTTCTAAAGTTGTAGAACTCGGGCGTGAACTCAATTTGGTGATGATCTCGGAGCGCCTTGATGCACTCTTGGGCGGGCTCAGGGCTAAATGTTTTAAATTGCTATATTAGCTTCTCGAGTCTGGTAAGGTAGAAAGCAGAAGAGTATTAGGACTTTATTTGGTTTCTCTGCTCACATTATACTAGGATATATGCTCTGCCATTCCCAGACAATTTGGGCGATTGCTTCCAGCATGGTCATCCCGTTGTTGCGGTTCTTTGTTGCGGTAGCCTTGCTCATGGAGTAGAATCGAGAGTTGGCCTTGTTGTACGCCCGAGACATCTGTTCTAGGGGAATGTTTGGTGGTGATGAAATTGTTTACGTCTGGTACTATTGTATATGAAGCGTTTAATGACGCGTAAGACATCCGGAGTACCTAAAGGGCAAAGCCGGAGTTCCGTTTGACATAAGAAACGGATAAAAGGAAGGAAGAAGAATCGTATAAAAATAATGACGGTATAATGAAGGTAAAGAGAGAGATATCATTTTTTTTCTCTTAATTTTTCCTTTACCAAAGAACCGATCGTACACGACCGGTCTCCAATAGACTTAACGCCGCCGCTTCCGAGTTACTCCTATCCTAAGCCATACCACCTTTCCGCGTATCCCCCGGTCGTTTACTTAGCTATATTAACGTAAGGATCGGCATACCGGATAAACCATTCAAAGTCCCGGGACCCGATAGATCCCAGAAATTTCTTTAAGAAACCTCCAGGGGGAACCATGCTAAACAGCTTACCTCTGGTTTCTTCACACTCCATGAAGTGGCCAGATAATCGCTTGCCGCCGCAACGGCATGACTTGCCTCGTTCGGGGTGTTCCACTCGTTCGTGGTACGAGGCGAAGTCGCCGTGTCCAGTCCGCTCGGCCGGAATGTTTGGTGGGAGGGGATTCCAGTACGACTTGTACTCGAGCTCTTTAATCTTGTAAGTCAGTGCCTGTATCTAAATGGATGATCATAGTATATCGGTCTCTCTGGTACCTGTGGTTGATGGGCCTGAGTAATAGGCCTGGAGAAATCAATTGTCTCTGGTCGAGTTCTTTCTCGGTATGGAGTTGGCGTCGCTTTAGAAAGTAGGAAGTGGTGTGCGGATGAAAATTATACCCAGGAGTTAACAGGGTAGACTAGCAAGGAATCGAACTTTCTAGGAAGAATTCTGTTTGGTTTTATATAAATATCGTGCGCTAATAAATCCCATTTAGGTGATACTCGGTTACTGTGGTGTTAAGTGTGTCGTTGCCTTCATTGGGTCGGCTTGTGGCGAAAAGATGATTGAGGAATAGGGGTCCTGCAGGGAGAAAGAGTGTAGAAAGATATTAGTGAGTGTCAATTTCTTTTCTAACCGCATAGGGCCTAAAATAGGCCACAATCCTTTGCTAAGCTCGCCCCTAAGTCAGTCAGTTTGCTGGTCAGTCTGTTGTACGGACAACCCAAGGTGGTTCCCAGCAGAGTTTTTGCCAATATTTGGTTGGTACTTAGGGAGTTTTTAAACTGGCCCTATTTGTACCAGATACGTACTTGGTTGTCATAGGCAATAGCCTGATTGCTCTACTTGTTATAGCTCAATTTGAAGCTATTTGTAACCTTACTGGCTGTTCATGATCGATATTTTCCTTTAACGGCCTCGACACTTGTTTGTGGATGCGGCACCTGCATGGCTCAACTAGACCTAGATGTCTCATTGCATGGCTCTTAACGAACTCTAGAGAGATACTATCGCTTACTATTAACACAGTGATGATAGACCGTTGAGATTATAGGCAACTGACTAGATAGCCGTAAATAATTGAAACTATATAATCTGTTGATGTATATTTAGTACATTATGGGAACCACACTTTGCTAACAGTTCGTGTAGTAGTTTGATTATGTATCCTATACTGTTCTGAAGGAGGTTTGTCCCGGAACAGCTTTAGGACTTTGCCAACTGCTGCTTGTCATATGTCCACCTGCTATGTCTTTAATCTTAATGTGGTCGAAATCCTTGTCGTACCGTCTTCACAGGTGGTGTACGTTCTGGCCCCTTTGCCATCGCCGCCGTGGGAGAAGAGAGAAAAGAGAAAACCAGAGGAGACTGGGAACGGGATAGCTTTTATCAAATTTTGGTACGGGTCCGGCTTGTCAGATATGTCAATGATGGAAATGTATGAAGCCACTAGGTTAGGCGAATCTAGAAAGGGAGAGTGCTCCGACATGTGTACACAATCCGAATTCAAGGTAAACCTTCCTGTGAACCATGATACATCGTCATTAGAAATCAGAATGCGTTGACCTTGTATGCTGACTGATTGTTAGGGGAAGGCACATTTCCCAGGCCTCCTGGAGAGACTGCATACCAACATTGGTTACTTCGTGTCGATTCACAAAGATCTAGTGATGGAGATAATATCGATCATTGCTGTTGATTAGGGTAAGTAAATAGCCAAGCGCAGCGTCGTAAAAACCATGCAGTTCATCCGTACAAATACAAGCCCGGAACAACCAGATAGGTAAGGTATATAACAAGGCCAAGTCGGCCGTGGTATCTTCGCCATCCCAAACGCCGCCAATCGTCATTATTCGCATTGTCCCGTCACTTGTCTCATCATCGCCCGTCCGGGATATTAGATTTATATACATACACCCATCCCCCCCACTCCCCCCCTTTTTAATAGGACAGCCTCCTCGCTCACAACGCATAGTTCTCGGTATGCAGGAAAATCTCCTCAAGTTGAGGATCACCCCAGATCTCCGCCTGCAGCTTCGCGACGGTATTCGCGACACCCACGCGCATGCTCGGCGGGCCGCAGACAAACACCGCCGTCCTCCTGCCTAGAATGCCGCGGCCGTCGACGCCGCCCGTCGTCCACTCGCGCAGCATGTAGCCGAGGTCCGGGCGCCCGTACTCGACGCTCCAGCCGCCGTCGATCTGGTGCGGGACCGGGAACGCGAAGCGCATCAGGCTCTTCTGGAATTCGGTCGGCGTCTCCGGGAAGCCGAAGTCGAATCCGGAAGGCGGGCCGAACGTCGACGTGGGCCGCATGCTCGGTTGGGGCGCGGGCGGCAGGTTCGTCGTGCGAAGGTGTGCGAACTCCGGCGGCCGGAGTACGTTCTCCGACGGTTCGCCTGAGGCATCTTCGGCACCGGGGGGTGGCGGAAATTTCCGCGGCGAGGGCGGTGCGTAGTTGAAGTGTGGCTGCAGATCGGGGCGCGTTTGAAGCGGCGGGAAGTGGAATTCCCGCTTGGGCTTGTCCTCGGGGAAGCCGTCTGATGGTATTGGCGCTGCGTCGTCGTGATCTTCCGTGTCGCTTTGATCTCGACCCTCGAGCCTACGAAGAGAATCCTCCTGAGCTGACAAGCGGTTTGACGGCGGTGGACCTTGTGGCGGTATATGATGTGGTTGGAGGTACTTCTGTTGAGGAAGAGCAGTGATTCTGTCTTCATCCTCTGCGCGCAGTTCACGCTCATAGTCTGTGTTGCCTTGCGCTTCATCTCGGATCAACTGAGAGCTGCGCTTCAAGGCCATGTCGGCAACGAAGCCATCCAATTTGTCGTGAAGCATGTTGCTGAGTGGCCGGGGTCGTCGTTCATGAGGAGGGGGGAATTGAGACTGTCTTTTGGCAGCAGTCACGAAGAACTTGCAAGTTACACTCTCCGGCGGTGCCGAGTCGCGGCAAATACGCAGCTCTTCTCGGAACCAATCCATTGCCTCGAGTCGTTTAAGAGCCCAAACGACCACCACTTTCTTGGTGATGGCCTTGCCGTCGCGCATGCGTTTGATCAGGTTCAGTAACTGTGACATTAGGGCAGTCACACCGCTTCCACCAGCAATCAAAATACATGTGTCGAATGCGGCAAGCTCTCGGCGCATACCGCCATACGGCCCGTCAAGATACGCCCGATATGTGTGAAATGGACCCTTATCGATGGCCGTCTGCAACACCCGTCGAGTGAATCCGCCGTACGGTTTGAATACAAGGATGCAATCTCTGAATTGCTCACCATATTCCGAAGGAAAATCTTCGCTGCATAGTGACGAGATGGTGAACGGATGATTGTCAAGGAACGAGATGCCAGGCATTCGTAGGTAGACATATTGGCCGGGCTGCCACTTCATCTGCGTAGGAATGGTGATCTTGATGGCGTTCTCGGTCATGAGGGTAATCGCTGCCTCATCCCCTACCAAGAATGCCATCCGCCACGGCTTGATCCAATTGAGCTTAAAGAGTCGGGCGAAATAGCAGAGTACCCAAACGGCTATTGTGGCGTACAGGTAATCCCAAGATGCGAGATAGTTCTTCGTGTGCCAGAAGAGGCAACCGAGATACACGAACCCGACCGGCACGTGAAGTGTAACGAAAACTTCGTACGCTATCCTGCGGATAAAAGGAAGC